AGTATATTAATATGTACAACTAAAATTACTAATAAAGATATGAGCAAGGCCTCACCTTAACACCAAAAAAAAAAAACAAATGATCTTTTAAAATTTTAAAATAAATTGTTTAAAAATTTCCATTTGTTTATTATGTTATTGCTGTTAAATCTTACTTGTATGTAAATATTGCTCTTTAATAGTTTCAATAATTAATTTTGTTTGTTTATTAATGTGTATTAAAACATTATCAATAGATTTTTTTTTATTATTAGTATGAGTATTTTTTTTCTTTTTAAAATCGATCTAATTAATAAAATAAAAATTAACTAAAAAAATAAATAAATTAAATAAAATAAATAAATATAAAGTTTTATATTACATCATTATCATTGTCACTTGTATTATCAGGTTTAGAATGTTTAATTTCATGAATTGAATCACTAGTAATAGATGGAGTAATACTTGGATCATTTTTCATATAAGTATCTACATCATCAAAGAACTCCTATTCATTCTGCATAGCTTCTTCATCAGTATTTTTAATTACATCTTTAATGTTTTGATATTTTTGATAAATAGACTCCCATTTTTGCTGAATTGAGGTTTTTGAATGCATTTTTAAATTTGAATTTGAAGTAGAAGATTGAATTTCTGAAATGATCTTATTCCAAATATGACCCTTTTCTCTTGGATCTTTTGCTTTTTGCAATGTCTTGAATTGTTTCTTTACTTCTTTAATTAATATACTGTCACGATCCAAAATAGGATCGTCGATATTTCATTTAAGTTACATCACATAATGAAGTAATAATATATAGTAATTATTATAGCACATAGTATATAGAGCGTAATTAGTAGATACAGCACATAGAGCGTAATTAGTAGATATAGCGTAATCAACGTAATTAGTAGATATAGCATATAGAGCGTAATTAGTAGAAATAGCATAATCAGTGTAATTAGTGGATATAGCATATAGAGCATAATTAGTAGATATAGCGTATAGGGAAAAAGTATATAAGCAATGTGGTTATAATGTAATAAAAACAGGTCTCGCAGTATATCTAATAAAGAAATACTTACCCTTAGTACTCGCCCAAATCCAACGCCTCTTTTGAGTACTAATTCGTCTGACGTTACGCAAGAGACTTTCGTTTACCCTATGAATAGGGAATTTTAGAGTTGATATTTTCAGTAGAACGACAATACATGTTTTTGATGAAGTCTATCTTTTTGTTGGTTTATTATTAGATACTTCTGAAGAAACAAAGTTTATATTTGAAATTAAATTATCATCAGAAACTTGTTCTGAGATTTCAAGTTTGTTCTTTAATGATGAATTTTCTTGATTAATTGCCTAATGAAAATTATTATTATATATGTATAATAATTTTATTTTGCAAATAAATATATATTAAATACTTTGAACTCAACAGTGGCTTTGTTTAAAGCTAATGGATTCATAAAAAATAAAGAAGTAGAACATTGCTAATGAAATAGCATATTATAGTTGGTAAAATTAGTAAACAGAGTACTAGGAATCATTGAAGTTGATGTTTTGCTAGAGTTTTGATGATCAGTAACATCTGTTACATTCTTTTGGATAGATGCTTTTGTCTTTTTATTTTTTGTTTTTTTAATTTTTGTTTCTTTAATTTTTGACAAAGATATTTGAAAATAATAGAAATCAATAGAGGAATGCTCAAGTACTGACTTTAATGATTATTTTGATTGATTATAATAAATAAGCACTAGTACAATCACTCATTAATCACATCACAATTGTTGCTTGAGAAGATTTCATTATGTCATAAATTTCGTATTTAAATTTTTTACAAAATTTTATTTAAATATAATTATGCTTGAGCACTATTACAATTATTTGCTAATCACATTTAGATTGATGCTTGAGAGTGATCTAAGTAAGAATAACAATAGTAGCAATAGAAGAAATAGAAGTGGTAATAGATTTTTCTACAATAATAGCAATTTTTTATTATAATAATAAGTAGTAGATGAACTAGTTTTTTTTTATAACTTATTTTAATTCTAATATATAAGCTTGTAAAGCTTTAATATATTATTGAACTTTAACTGAATCATTAATAAAAATATCAAATTGAATTCTTTGGTCAGCAGTGATTTTTAGTAAAGAATAGTAATAAGTAAATCTTTGAAAAAGAACTAAAGCAATATCCTGAGTATTAATTATTCAATTTTGGTAATAATATTTAAAAATAATATTTCTAACAACAATTCAAGTAGTTAAATATTCAAAGGTAGTTAAACTTAAAAAGTTAGCTTAAATAATTTTATTAAAAAAAATAGCTTAATAGATTTCAAAATACTAAGTTCAAAATAAAGCAAATTATCTATAAGAGTTAAGATTAATAGAAATTGGTAGATAACATTGAAAATAAGATAAATTAATTGCAAGAGTTTGCAATATAATATTAGTAAAAGAAAAGTTTTCATGATAGACTTATTAATATTTTAAATATTTTTTAAATAAATTTAAGGGTAGGGTGTACATAGATCATTTTTCATATGACCTAAATGGTATAATGGATTTTTATATAGTAAATTAAAATATGTTACTAATAAAACTTTTTTATTTTTTAATTAATTTTTATCAAAATTCAATAATATATAGATTTAAATAAGTTATTTATTATTTTAAAATTTTATAAGATGTTTAATTTAAAAAAATTATATTTGTATATATCTTGAATTTTCCCTGGACACTATGTTTTTCCTTGGTTACACAAAATAGTCAACTTTAATTGGCTAATTTCCGAAAACCTATAAAAGAGTTTTAATAATAAATTTTTATATCTAATCTTTAAAAATTCATATTTCGATGAATTTTAAACCAATTTTAATGATTTTACTATTGTTAGAATCATAAGAACCTACTCTACAACTTTACTTATAAGCTCAAAAAATATTTAATTAAAAAAAATTTTGTAATTAAGATTATAAAAAAAATATACCATCAAGTTTATATATAAATTTAAAATGTTATACTCTATCCTTAAGTAAAAAAATCTTTTATAATAAATTTTTTTCAAAAGAGATTAGTACTAATAAACAATAAAATAATAAAATAAATAATAAAATTGAAAGAATAAATTTAAAAGTAATGCTAGCAAAGTTAAAAACTCAAATAATTAAATCAAAAGTTAATAATTCCAAAATATATATATAATTAACAAGTAAATTAATAATATCAAAAATCAAAATTAAAATCAAAATCAAAGATTAAAAATAATTTAAATTTAAAAATTAAAAATAAATAAAAGATAAAAGTATAAACTTCTTGCAATTTCAAAATTTCAAAATATAAAATATAAAATACAAAATACAAAATAAATCAATTCAAATTAAATTAATAAAAGTATATCTAAAATATTAATTTTAAAATGTTTTTTTATAATTGTTATTTAAAATAATTTTTTTTTAGCAAAAAAAAAACATTTTAAAATACTTTTTAACTTTTTATCAGAAGATACCAAAATGTTACAAGATTGTAGCTTTTGTAATACAATACAACTAAGTACCAAAGTTATCTAATATAATGATTAACTATTATAAATATATATAAAATAGAGATATAGTAGTTTACTTTACTATACAGTAGTAAAAAAACAGTTTAAGATAGTAACAGTATAAAAATTAAATTTTATTAAACAAATATATAGTAATAACCTTGTATATAAATATTACTCTAGAAAAAAATATTATATTTACAAATTAAAGATAAAGGTATTAAAGTCTAAATTAAAGTATAAGAACTTAAAATTAGTAGGAAAAAAAAAAGATATTCTTTATATTTTTTTTTAGTATAAGTAGTAAAAATTCAAGCAATATTATTTGATACTATATTCAAGATAATAAAAGTTTAAACAACATTAATTGATACTGTGTTTAGAATAGTAGAAGTTTAAATAATATTATTTGATACTGTATTTAGATAATAGAAATTGTGCAAAGGCAACTAGGAATATTGTTTATATTATTTATAATTTATGTTTAAAATATTAAAGCTTGTATTAAAATATTTGAATTTATGCAGAAACATTTGGAATTTGTGCAAAAATATCTGAAATTCATATAAAAATACTTTGAGTTTATATTAAAAATATTTAAAATTCTTGTATTATAGCATTTGATATTTCTCAAACCATATCTTAATTAAATTTGTCTAAAAAATTAAATTTTATTTAGTATTTTTAAATAAAATAATAATTTATTAATAATATAAAGTATATTTTGCTTATAAAATATATTTTTGTAGTGTGGATCCCATAGCTTAGTGGTTAAGCTTCCATACCTTCCACAGTCAAGATCAACAGTTTAAGTCTGGCCAGAGGCAAAATTGAAAGATTTTAGCTTCTGTAACCTAATAAGGAGCCTGTAATTGAATGCGAAGCTCTGTGGTTAAGTCCAAGTGCAATACAATGATAAAAATAGAAATTCCTGGAAGAAGACCCAATCATGGAGTCCAGATGTAACAAGTGGTTGTTACAGAAGATTACGGTTATAGAAAGATTGCACATGTAAGTTCTTTAGACTAGGGCAACACTAACATCCTTATACCTCCCAATATAGGCAGTACCAACATTTCTGCACCTAACTTGTGGGATACTTGCTTGGAAGGATAATCAACAGAATGTGCAAATAAGTCTTAATTAGGATCCAAGAAGAGGATTTGATTGGGAGAGTAGTCTGACAAGTAACCAAGACTAGAATAATGAGAAAAGCAGTGAACACAAGAACAGACTGTGATAAAGAATTGGTCTAACCAAAATTGGAAGCACCTCTGGCACAGCTGAATAATCTAATTATAGAAAGGAAGATCTTAGAGGTAGGTATATAACCTCCTTGTGCAATGTAAAAGTACCAAATCAGATTCTAGTCGTACCTATATGGAAGTCTATGACAAACAAGACTAGGGATCAACCAACCAATGTAAGATAAGATCTGCAAAGTAGTATGGCATTACTGGGGTCAGTGTAACTCTCTGGGCATAATCAAAATTGTCCTGCAGGTATTGTCAAATAAGCTGAGAGCTTGTAATACATAGTAGTATGGTATCATTAGAGTCAAAGGAACTCTCTAGGTATAATCAGAATTGTTCTGTTTGTAAGTGCAACAAGTCCAGTCTCTACTATAAAAGGAAGCACTATGTTGGAGATTAAATGCAGCATCAAGTTACTGTATGATGTTAAGACCTGAGGCATCTGCAGAAATGATGGCAGCAGGTTTGGCTTGAAATACAAATTGGGCAAAAGACCAATAGCAACAGCAAATCTGGTTTGAGATATGGGTTCATTGTAGATCCTAGACCATTATCAGAACATCTTAGGAGAATCAATAACAGGCAAACCAAAGATAAGAAGATCATAAGGATCAGACATATCTGAGTAGGACCAATTTGGAAGTAATATAGTGCTGAAAAGGTAGGAAATATAGGGAACAAGGTAATACTAAATATAGTTAAATTAGGAGACAGAAGAAACAAGACCAGGTAAAACATATAAGTAGGATATATGGGTACGATTTATAGAAGACAGTACTTCTGGCATTTGGGATGCCACATTAAGTTCAGTAGGT